AGGGATAGTGCAGTACTCACGAGGTTAGTAATAGCTGGGGCCTTACCACTCTGACATCGGAAGGTCGAGGGGAGGGAGAAATGATAGAACCCAGGAAGAATAGTGTGGACAGGGCTGCCTTGAGAAGGAGGCGTGACCTTTTATCAAAAGACACAGCCAGCCCAAGGCAATCTGACTGGGAGGGAACTGAAGGAGTACATTTTTCAACCCCTCTGTCCTCCTGTCCTTCAGTCTCCTGCTGCTGCCTCCTCTTGGCTGTCCCCAACTTGAAGCTAGAGGGCAAGGGAGCAAGCTGATAAGAGTCCATCGAGGTCAGTACTGCAGGGCAGAGAGCAGCATGGAGAAGGGAAGACAAGTGGATCTGGAGGGACAAGTGCAAAAGATGCAGTACAGTCCGCTTCATTTGCATATCGAATAAAGACTTGCTATTTAAATCCTGGTATCTTCTTGAGGCAGAGAAGCCTTTAGGAAGGGTACTATGGCGGCAGGGTCAGGGTTCTTGTTTGTTCATTCTTCAGGTCTCTTGAGCACATTTCACAAAGTACTGTGCTGGGTATTTGAGAGAAGCCTAGCAATGGCAAAAGGATCCCAGAAATGCAATGCATCCTCTTTCCTCACATGTGTATTTGTGTGTGTATGTGTGTAAATGAGAAATAGTAAAAGAGGGAGGGAGAGGGAAGAAAGGGGAGAGAGGAAGAGACATTGATTTTTGTCTCACCATCGTGATCCTCTACCTCCCAGTTAGTTAGGATTGCAGAAGTGTGCTCCTATGAGCCACCTTTTAGTTTGGTCATGGATCTGAACCCAAGCCTCCCAGGTGGCCACACCTGATGCAGTGGTGTCCTACCACTTGTGCCATTGTGTCTGGGACCTTTGTGTGTGTGTGTATACAGTTTTTTATTTAATTGTATTTATTATTTATTTTTAAAAGACTTTCTATAGGGCATATGTGCTCACCAGAGAGAGAAAGAGAGAGAAAGTGAGAAAGCAAACCACCAGGTCTGGGACTCGAACCACGGTCTGCCATGTGGGAGTCCAGCATTTTAACCACCATGCCATCTGCCGGCCCCACCATGTGTGTATTTTTAAAGAACATATCCCCACTTTACTAAAGCACTTGTATCGAGTTCTGAATAGTCAATGTGACCTCATTGGCCTCAAAATTAGATTCTGCTTCGGCAGAAGGCAGAGCGTTGAGAGCAGCAGGGGCTGGATCTTGGGGCTGGCAACTGGCAGTTATGTCCCTTGCCACCTCGGTGGCCTTTAGGTAGTAGCCGAGTAGTCATTTTTCAGGCAAGGAGGCCAGACTAGAATTCATCATTGTAACTCTGGAAACTGGACTTACTCTTATGAATGGAGTGGATTGTGGTCTCACATTTTCTGAATCTGGGAAGTCATTCCCCTCTTTAATGAGGTCCTCTTGGAAGAGGAGGGAATGGGTCTCCTTCAGTGACATGACTTTGACAAGCAAATCAATTCGTTCCATTTGTTTCCTCTTTGAAAACAGCAATCCTCGAGCGTTACATAATCTAATCTTCATGCCTCGCTGGTTTGTTCTGTCCTCCTGAGGAATTGGCAGATGGTGCCAATGCGGAGACCCGCGCACACGCCTCGCAAGCCTCATGGTAACAGGAGAGTCGCTCACTGTGTCTGTCTCTTTGCTGCGGGGTCCCTTGCTGGCATTTGTTTCCCTGGATCCGTTTGCTCTTTAGCATTCCTCAGGCACCACTGGCTTCTTGCCTTCGGCTCTCATTCCAAGATTAATTGGAAATGCTGAAAGCAGATAAAAAAGAGAACAGAAAGTGAAGTTGAAAGGGCAGAGAATTTGTCGGATTTTTCCAAAAGCCCTCCTCCATTAAAGGCTGAGTGTCTTTGGAGATTTCAGCTCCCTAGCTTTGGCTTCCTCATTCAGCCTGGTCCCTGTTACATCCTCGTTGCTGGGTTACACAGAGCACAGGGACAGGCTGGCTGTTCTGAGCTGGGAGAGCAGAGATCTGCTTGATAAGGTCTCTGAATTTCTGTCTCTAAAAGCGAGTTTCCATACCTGCAGAAGTGATCGTTCCTTAGACAGGACAGTTACCTGGAATCCACCATGTGTCAGCGATGTCCCCTTTGCTAAGGGAAAGGTGAGTAGCCTTGCAGCAAGACCTTGTGAGGCAGAACCACGGCATTTAGGTGCCCTTGCCAAGGCAATGTCTTATACGTTCTGTCTGAATCGGGGGCCAGGCTGCAGTGCAGCAGTAAAGCACCATGTTTCACAGGCTGATCAGCATGGAAAGGTTCCAGTCTCATGTCTGGAGACCTCCCAGTACATGTTGAACACCCATGTGTCCATGGTCCAGGGCTAGCTGGACTGGGGTTGAATCATGGCATCAAGACCCTGTTGGGAGTGCTGTCTCTCTGTCTTTTTCACCATAGAAGAAACAAATAAACTTTAAAAATAAATAAATAAAAATAAATGGCAACTTCTGGGGCCAGCAGGTGGTTCGAGTCCTGCACCTGGCGGCTTGTTTTCTCTCTCTCACTCTCTCTGGCAAGCTCCTGTGCTCTATGGCAAATTAAAATAATAATAATAATAAAATAAAATAAATAATTTTTTAAAAAAAGGAGAGAGAGAAAAAAGAAAGAAAGAAATGGCAGCTTCCAAGAAAGCAGAGGAAGGGTTCTTTGGTTTGCTATGGT